ATAAGGTTATATAATCCACATGAAAAGAAACTGGACTCAAGAACAACCAGTGGTTTCTTCATTGGTTATCCAGAAAAATCTAAAGGTTATAGATTTTATTGTCCTAATCACAGTACAAGAATTATTGAAACTGGAAATGCTAAGTTCATTGAAAATGGTGAAGTTAGTGGGAGTTTGGAACCACATAAAGTGGAGATCCAAGAAATTAGGGTTCAAGTTCCTTTACCCAAAATTTCTTCTCAAGTTGTTGTTCCTACAGTTGTTGAACCTTTTGACAACTTACAAGAACAACTAATATATGATCAAATACCCCACAATGAAACTGTCACTAATGAACCTACATTAGATGAACCACATGAAGTAATACCTATAAAGTCCCAACGACAAAAACGGTCTACTATTTCCGATGATTATGTGGTTTATCTTCATGAATCCGAATTTGACTTAGGAGTCAATGAAGATCCAGTTTCATTTTCACAAGCCATAAAAAGTGCAAATTCTTCTAAATGGTTAGATGCAATGAAAGATGAGTTGAAATCAATGGATCACAACAAAGTCTGAGATATCGTTGAGTTGCCTGAAGGTTGTAAAAGAGTCGGGTGTAAATGGGTCTTTAAGACTAAGCGCGATTCGAATGGCAATATTGAACGATATAAAGCCAGACTTGTTGCCAAAGGTTTCACTCAAAAAGATGGCATCGACTATAAAGAAACATTTTCTCCGGTTTCTAAGAAAGATTCATTTAGAATTATCATGGCACTAGTAGCTCATTATGATTTGGAGTTACACCAAATGGATGTGAAAACTGCCTTTCTGAATGGGAATTTAGATGAAGAGGTCTACATGAATCAACCTGAAGGATTTTTGGTTGAAGGAAAGGAACACATGGTGTGTAAACTTAAGAAATCAATATACGGACTTAAGCAAGCTTCCCGACAATGGTATCTTAAGTTTAATGATACCATCACGTCCTTTAGATTTAAGGAAAACATTGTTGATCGGTGTATATATCTAAATGTCGGAGGGAGCAAAATTATATTTCTTATTCTGTATGTTGATGACATCTTGTTGGCTACTAATGATCTTGGCTTATTATATGAAACCAAGAATTTTCTCTCTAAGAACTTTGAGATGAAAGATATGAGTGAGGCATCCTATGTGATTGGAATTGAAATATTTCGTGATAGATCACAAGGATTGTTAGGGCTGTCTCAGAAAACATATATCTCACAGAGGTGAAACAGCCCTCATCGACTCCGCATCAGGACTCTCCATCTCGTACCCTGAACTTCGTTCCATGGTTGATAGCATCGCCTCCGGACTCCATGACATTGGAGTCTTCCCTGGACAGGCCGTCCTCATCCTCCTCCCCAACTCCATTCTTCTTCCTGTCATCCTCCTCGGCGTTCTCTCCCTTGGCGCCGTCATCACAACCATGAACCCCCTCTGCAGCGCCAAAGAGATCCAGAAACAAATGAGCAGCATCCTCCATTTAGCCCTAGTATTCTCTTTATCGGAGAAAGTTGCCGCTCTGGACCAATTTGGTGTTCCGATAGTCGCCGTTCCCAACGACTTGAGCTATGATTCGTCTCATTACTCTGTTTTCCACAAGATTGTTTCCAGCAGCCCTCGGCTTACTTGGAGGCCAGCTATCCGGCAGAGCGACACCGCGGCGATACTCTTTTCCTCCGGAACCTCTGGATCCAGTAAAGGTGTCGTTCTAACTCACAGTAACTTGATCGCCATGGTTGAGCTATTTGTTCGGTTCGAGGCTTCGCAGTATAAGAAGGAGAGTTGGAAGGATGTATACCTTGCTGCCATACCAATGTTTCATGTGTACGGTCTTTCTCTATTTTCCATTGGGTTGCTGTCTCTGGGCTCGACGGTTGTGGTGATGAAGAGGTTCGATGCGAAGGAGGCGGCTGAAACTATAACAAGGTACCGAGTAACCCATTTTCCGGTTGTTCCGCCAATAATGTCTGCTCTTATAAGGGCCCAAGATGCCCATGGCTGTGATCTGAGATCCTTGAAGCAGGCCTCTTCTGGTGCAGCTCCTCTGAGCAAGCAACTGATACAAGAATTCTTGTGGAGATTTCCCCATGTCGATTTCATTCAGGTAATCACATGAGTTGTTGAAAAACTCCATCTTCCCCAAAAGTTTTATATTCGCCTGTTAAAAAGCTCGTTTTGATTCGTTGGTTAAGTGTGCCGAGCAGGCTTTTATGTTTTGAGCTTCATTTTCTATTTTTACAGGAATTGAACACAAGCAAACAGATGCTTGTTGGCCTTCTTGGTTGTTTTAAATTAATAAATAGCCAAATAATAATATAATAATAATAATGAGAAACATCAGCTTCTCCTGTGCTTTTTTTTAACTTGCTGAAATAAAGACGAGAATTGTCCCACACTATCTTGTATTATTTTTTTATTTTTATTTATGGGACACTTGTTATATTTTTATTTATGACTCACATTTATTTTAATAACTTATGACATTTATTTTTGATAACTTAAGTTATTAATTTTCATAACTCATAACTTATGTCATAAATTATGACAACTTATGATATTTATTTTGATAACTTAAGTTATTTATTTTCTTAACTCATAACTTATGTCATAATTTATGATAACTTATGATATTTATTTTTGTAACTCTATAACCCCTAAAATAAATAAATATTACTAACTTATGTCATTGATTTTATTAATAAAAATTAATTAATTTATTAAATTATCATAAATCCTATTGATTAGTAACCCCCTTGATGGATGGTGGATAAATAGAGCATGAATTTGAGAATGTGTCCTCTCTCTACCCAACACACCTCGTACATTTCTCTCCATCAGAAAGTACAGAAAGTTTTAAGGGATTAGAGAGAGAAACTCCATCTCTTCAAGATCAAATTTGTTCATCATGAATACAGGTATGCGTCGCTTTATTTTTACATATGTAAAAATCATGAATGTAAAAGATCTTGGCTATTATGCACTTTTCTTTTGTAATTTGTGTATAAAGTTGAAACATGAATATTCTAACAAATAACCCCAAAACGGAGGTTATTGAGAGGTTATTGCGCACGCAGAGCTGCGTGCACATTCCGTATGGAAATATTTTTCGGACAAGTGAGGGAGTAAAGAATGAACAATGTAAAACTTATGTCTAGAGTCTTCACTTATCAAATCACCTCCTATTTATAGGTGTAGGAGATACCTTGAGTACATAGTTACCTTTAAACCCTTTCTTATGGAAGGAATGTGGGGGTATTGAGGTCATTTACCCAATATATTTCATTATTCTAATAAATAATATTGATTGATGGCGGTATGATGCTTATTTAGTAGTGATAGACCCGTGTCTAGTTTTTTGTTATGGAAATCTTAGTGATTTTTTTGGTGCAATGTTAAAAATTTAAGTGTTATATAATCAAAATTTAAAATTTTAAGTGATATATATATATATATATATA